CCGGTCCCGGTCTGGTACGGGCGCGACACTGAGGGTTGCGATCTGTTGCTGGACACGAAAATAGACAAAAAGGAAAAATATATATATATATTATTGCTCATACTGAAAAGATCTATGTGATAAATTCCTGCCCGAGTTAAATAGACAAAAAGGAAAAAAATATATATATATTATTGCTCATACTGAAAAGATCTATGTGATAAATTCCTGCCCGAGTTAAATGATATAAAACTTTTATTTTTATAGAGGAATTTATATGCTTCCTTTTTACTAAGAAGTGAAGACTGTAACATACTATATTTTTCTTCCTGCTCTCGGTGCTTCATATTTACAGCCACACAAATTTGGGAACCAGGAAGCATTACCTTTGTTTTCTTTGGTCGCTCTTTTGTGTCAGCTTTAATTATCCATGTTTTTTCAGTTTACCTTGGTGGCCTCAGATACTTTTGAATGTGGGAGGTGGTATAAACCTAAAAGCACCTATACTGGATGCACACAGCCTAAGAGGCACTCGAGCAGCAGTGGGAATTATCTCATGGGGCCCTCTCTCTCTGCCCCCTTGTCTCTGGTCCCGCATCCGTCTGTGAGCCACAGCCAGGCTACTGTGAAATTACTGAATGAAGAGCAGTCATCACAGTGGTGACTGTGGTGGAAGCCGCCACCTCTTCTTGCAGTGTTCCTCGGAAGAGTCCTCCTGCCAGGATGTCAGCTAAGGATGGGGCTTGAGATGACAGAACTTAAAGCAAGGGCGGGTCTTTGCATGACCCAGAAGCACCGCACCTACGGCTCCTGAGCCAACCCTGACAGGAAAGCAGGCATCCGCTTCCCACTTTCTGCCATCTTTCTAAGAAGCCTCTACCTTTCTGGAATCCTAACCACTATATGAGACCACACTGCTACACGAATGAGACACCAATGCTGATTTGTATACTGGCTAAAAAGAGGTTAATGAATTTTACAAGATAAGAGAATTAACATTCTCTAAAGAAAAAACATCCTTTCAATCCATCTTCTCTTTACTTTTCAAATATTAATTAATTCAGTTTTAATTATCAGAAAAAACATACACAATTTCAGAAAAAGAGTCATAGTTAAATATGCACACATGAGAAAGCTGAGTTGTGTTTCATTTACACCCAAGACACATTCTGAAGGGAAAAAAAGACCACCATAAAAACCCTCAAATTTGCCTCTTTCTTCTTTTTTCAGTTATCCGTATCTCTTAGGAACATGTAATGATAGCTTACCTCAGCATGCACGGCAATTATGTTCACCAATGCTTCTTTTAAATAGTTTCTGACACCTGAAATCAAGACGGGGAGGGAAAAAGGCATTTAATGGGAACACAAACTGTCCCCCTCCCCTGCGGGCACCACTGTGGTGCTGTGCCCTGCCTGAGAGTGTTCTGCAGAGAAACAGAACGTAACACCACCACTGTCTATTTCTTTTTGAGAACCAAATGGTGAAAGGACTATTTTCATACAGGTCAAAAAACAAAAGAAAACAAACAAACAAATGAGCAGAAAAAAAGTTTAGAGCTTTCCTTCCTTGATTTTCACTTCCGTCACTGTTCAGCCTCAAAATTAAAATGTAAAAAAGTCCTTCAATTTCTTCACATATATTCATAAAAACATATACATATATTCATACAAACAATAACAGACAAAATGCAGAGGACAGAGGAAGGATGTTAAACAAAGCTTATAAAACTTATGTCAAATGTCTATTATAGCATTTTACTTCCAAAGGTGAAAATTGTTATGCAGAATGACTATTTCGATTTTTAAAAAATCACTTTTAGGAAAAACTTCTTACAGAACCACACTGAATCTGATTCTGTAAAGCAAGTTAAAGATTACACAAAATAAGCAATTTCAGATTTTAGGTACAGGATTAATGAACACTACTTCACTCCAAAACAGGTATGCACAAGATAAAAGAGTGTCCCCATTTCAAAACCTACTAGCTGTGTCCTCTGGCAAGACGACTGACCTTCAGTATTCCCACCTCCCTCGTGCATGTGACAACTGCTCCTGGCTTGTAGGGTGTGTGAAGGTTGCAGGAGGTAATGCACGCTGTAGGTCCTGGTATACACAGTGCTCAGGAAGAGCTTTCATTATCACTATTTTGCAAGAACAACGATGTAAAAACAAAATGCCGCTTTATTGTAATTCCAAAACAATTACTTTCACTTAGAGTGGAATATTTCAGAACGCCTCCTGGAATTAACTGCGCACACTGTATTGCAAAATTGTGGATGTTAACGGTGATGACATTAAGAATAATCTTCCCCTAGCATGTCATCCACACCACTGATTATTTAGAAAAGTTGAGACAGAGATGAAGAACTATAATAAACTTTTTGAACTAGCTTGTATACATAAGTGCATTTTCTTTTGAGGAGCCAACTTCAAACATTTCTTTGGGATATGAAGGTCCAGGTGTTGTAAGTTCTATGTTGCTGATCAAAGAGCTGAGAAAGCTGAGTGAAGACCAATTAAATGGAATCCAGAAATTAATCAATTCTTCCTGAGAAAAAGATAATTATAAGGTCAAAAGTCTTATCTGTGAGGCATGAGAGGGGAGCACAAGGAGCCCGTTGTAAGTGAAAGTGAAAGCAGCTCACTTGTGTTCCTGCAAGAGGAAGGCCCCGCCACAGAGACTGCGCCAGGCTGCTCCCCTGCAGGCCTTGCCGAGCACCCCCAGTGTGCACACCGCCTCTGTGCTCAGGCCTGGAGCCTTCCACCTGCAACCCTGTGTGAGACCAGCTCCCACATACCTGTACACATATGTGACACATAGTTACTAAAAATATAAGCACAACATTAGACCAGTGAGCTCTGAAGAACTGAGTCCTCTGCCCTTGGTGAAAACCCGGGTCCTATCAATGCTACTCAGAACAAATGTCAGGAGTCTGGGTTCCAATAATGTAGCAATGAGGACTAGAAGTGAGAAGACAGTTTTTAACTTCTGAAATTCTTCAGTGTAAAAGAGAAGAGTGGGGCCAGAGTGCTGACTAAAATGCACAAAATTAAACTTTAAATGAAGCAAGACAGTGCCACATGCTCAGGGACAGTGTGCTATCAACTCAGCTCCCACTGTGACCCTGGAAGGAAAAACATTTCCTGGCAAGAACCCTTCAGACAAGCCACTACTAATAAAATACCCTGTAAAAGAGATACATCTACATTACTCAATACAGTTCTAAAGACAAAGCTGTGAAGAGTAAGGACTCTGTTGGT